CCTATGCAATAGGACCGCACATGGATGTAATCTCGCTTTAGAATATCGAATGTTCGAGGCATGGTTTATATAAAACTGCAGGCGATACTTGAACCTAAGTTTTGAGAGTGGTATGGTTAACATAAAACCGTAGGTGATATCCGGACCTAAGTTTTGAGAGCGACGACAGATAATTTATAGTCGTACGCTTTGAAACGCAACAAGGGGTTTACGTTACGCGAAAGGTTTCGTGTTGCGCCTTTCTGGCGACATGTGTCGAGCGCTATTGATACAGCGAGCGATAATTCCAAGAGGCGATAAACTAGAAAGTTTAAGACAAAAATTTACGAGTGGAAATCTACTTGCTAAAATATGGGGACGTTACAATATACATCAATGTTACCCTACTAGCTCTGTGTTACCGACACTTTGTGCACATAGCATGGAACAGAACCAAACATTGTGCACATAGCATGGAACAGAACCAAACATTGTGCACATAGCATGTTACCCACTGGAAAGTATCGTGTACATGGCTCAGTAGTTCAATGTGCACGTTTTGTGCACATAGAGGCATCTTGAATTGTGGTTGCAGCTAAATCGGGGGGATGACCGCTCTCAGGCTTCTCTCTGGTTCTACAATAAGTTGCAAATGCTCTGTCGCCAGTCGCGAATGCTCCGTCTTATCAGAAATAACTAGAAATAGCGCTTTTTAATTAGTAGCAGAGAGAAGCCTGAGAGACGCCACGGCCAGGTTTTACGTGATCCGCCAAAGCGATACGCCACCTGTGGACCTAAAATATGGACATTGGAACTACGTAGCCATGTGCACAATTTTTGGTTTCGTTCCGTGCTATGTCCACGAAGGATCGATAATACAGAGTAATGTGCACATTGATGTATATTATACATGTATATTATACATCAATGTATATTAATGATGTATATTATATAATGATGTATATTATACATGTATATTATACATCAATGTCACATTACTCTGTATTATCGATCCTTCGTGGACATAGTACGGAACGAAACCAAAAATTGTGCACATGGCTACGTAGTTCCAATGTCCATATTTTAGGTCCACAGGTGGCGTATCGCTTTGGCGGATCACGTAAAACCTGGCCGTGGCGCCTCTCAGGCTTCTCTCTGTTAGTAGTTGCCATCCTTCGCGACTGGCGACGAGGCATTTGCAACTTATTGTAGAACCAGCCTTTTCGGTCACAGGAATGCCTTAACACATGAATTTGTCAACGATTCCCAGACAGCACAACATATCCAAAAGACGTCCAGAGGATGTTTTTGGACTACAAGACGTCCTCTGGATATCCTTCGGATATCCTTTGGATGTATTTTGGACATGTGTGCTATCTGGGTTGTCAAAGCACATTTGAATTGGCTTGTGAAATTTGCACTCGTGCAAGTAATAAATATGATTATTCATAGTCCAGAGTATTTTATAACTAAAAAATATTATATATATCTGAAAATTAGTGTTAGTGAAAATTATTATCTAAACATTTAGGGCCGGTTGTTCCAACTTCTTGGTAAGTTTATCCGTCAGTTATTTATTAATAAATATTAGTAATCTTTACTCAGTTGTTGGAATACCAAGTAAAATTACCTCTATCGTTATTACCAAGATGTAATTTTACTTGGTATTCCAACTATTGAGTAAGGATTACTGATATTTATTAATAAATAACTGACGGATAAATCTACCTAGAAGTTGGAACAACCGGCCCTTAAACTTCTAAACGTCCAAACTTTTTCGTAATTCTCGCCTGCGTTTTTAAGATGATGTCATTGTTTTTTCTGTGCAAGAAACTTCTTCCGTTTTTTGGAAAAGAAATCTTGTTGTTTATCCACCCGAAGTAATTTTTTGATAAATATACACATTTCAAACATTTTATGTACGTTACATTTCATATTATTTTATGTGCAACATTTTGCAAATAATGGTAACAAATAAATGATGCTTACTTTAACGTTGCTCCGTCGACGCTGGATGCTCCTGAGCCTTTTCCTCCTTTCATTGTTAATAATTTGAGAACACTCACTTGCGAAATAATTAATTTCATTCGTGCAATACTTTAAGTGATATCCTTAACGCGATTTTCATTATGACGATTACATGATATTACACGATACTTGTCGCGTATTTTGTCACATTAGGACAAAGACATTACTTTCGAATATTGTCGCACGGAATTTGCGTTCAACACTCTGCTGTGTGCGCAACAGGTAACGACAGGAAAAAAAAGATGGAAAATTATGGGTAATATTGAGGTAATATTACCTATTTATTAACGTTAAAAAACGTTAATAAATAGGTAAAGATTTATAAAAGATTTATTATAGATTATAAAAGATTATAAAAAATTTATTAACGTTATCTAAGATAAGAATTTATTTCGGTCGATTACAATTTCTCAAAATTAATTCTTATCTCAGATAATATTAGCAAATTTATGAAATAATGATATACAAGTTGTGATATTAATTCATTTATGGAAGTTAAAATTTAAAACGCAAGAGAAGCAGTGTATTATTTCGTGATACTTAAAATATTATATTTTAAGCCACGACAAAAATATTTTGTTGCTAGCTCAAAGCGTTCGGATTATTTTTTTTTTTTTGTGATTTACTGCATATTTATTTTCTCGCAAATTTCCAAAAGTTGAGTAACGATTTGGATTATAAAACACTGAGACATAATTTATAATGATTTATTCGATAAATAAAATTTTTACAACATAAATAATTCGAAGTATACGACGCGTCTTTGGCTGATTTTAGTGATGTTGTTGGCACCTATATTTTACGTCTCGCTTGCCAAATACGCGTGGTATTTCTTCGTTTCATTAATCTTGATATCGATCTTATTGGCAACATTATTCATAATTAAATGTAACAATAATAGTAACAAGAAACAGTCAATATACTCTATATGCTTGGAGAATAAATACTAAAGTAATTATTGCAAACTCTGGCTTTGCCTTATAAATAAGAAACGAACGTTATGTAGTCACATAATTATAAATACATCGTTAGTAGATGTAGAATGCCATGGTTTTAAATATTCTGGATATGGGGGTATTTAACGCTTCGTTGTCTGTTGCTAGTTGAATATAACTTTAACAATGCGAATTGGCTCTTTGCTACAGTCTATAGAAACTGCACAAGCATAATGGTAGATAAGATTTTACCATTTTACAAAATTGGAATAAAAAGTAGATCTGTCATATAACAGATACTTAGTACACATTTTTCGAGCATTTTGATAATAAAGGCATCAAAAAGATAACCACTGTATTCTGACTAGATTAGCACTCGATAAGCACTCGTCCAGTCTCGCGAGTCTTAATTTCAACATATCTAATTGCTATAGTTGATTCTATAGAGGAACGATTAATGGCACTATCATTGTTGTGCCATCAGTCAGGCAAACATAGATTTACTATAAAGCGTTCGATGAAGAAGAGAATAAAATTGAAAATGCGGAGAAGATCAATTACATCCGCTAGTACTCTACAATAAATGTCCAGAATTACTTGTACAAATGCTTATTCAAACAATTTTTTAGCATAATGCCAAATGCGAAAGAAGTATTCATCTTTTCTAAGTAATCTTGCTCTTGCGTACGAATGTATATCAGCGTCCATATTATGTTCCCGCAACCACGAACTTGTATTTTCTGTGCTAAAACTGATCGATGTAGTCTCGCCTTTGTCCATAGCTTCTGCAATTGGCTCCACGGACGAGAGTTCTGTCAAGAGAATAGATTTAGTGATATTGAGTTTACGATATTGAGTTTTGAAATCGAGAATGATGCGATAATAAAAAGAATAAAGTAAAAATTATTTTTAAAAAATAGCAAAATAATAGAAGATAGTATAGTAAATTATACCTGAAGTGGGCATGATCTTAAAGGGCTCTTCCGATTCCAAATGATCGCTAAATCCAATCTCGTTTCGTGCGAAGATTCTTACGAGATATTCGTGATTTTCTTGCAAGTCTCTAATGTTCAATTTTTGGATGTCCGCACTCACTCTTCCTACCTCCATCCACATAGTTTTCTTCGTGTCTCTAATAGCGATTTTATAGCCCTCCAAGGGTGCGCCGCCATCCGATTCAGGCCTACCCCATTCGATTACCATCGTGTTCGCGGCGATTTGTCTCATCTCTAATGGAGCGGTAGGTGGCGACGGAACATCTGATTTAAAAAACAAATCATTATAGATTGTATAGTCAGTTACTGCATATAATAATTTGACATATTATAGATTGACTTACTGGCATGAGTTTTCAGTGTGATTGGTTCAGAATTGGTCGGTGTACTAAGTCCTACGCTATTTTCAGCAAAGATTCTAAAGAGAAATTCGCTTTCCTTTAAATTTTCTATGCAGTATTGATGCGTTGTAGCGTCCAAAGTGACAACTTTTGTCCATCTAGCGCCTTTTCCGATTAATGGTCTCTTCTCGATAATGTAACCTGTAACAATGAAAAAAAATAGCAATATTTGAATAACATTGAAGTGGACAATTGCAAAAGGTTGTGCTATTTCATATATATTTACCAGTTAATTCTGATCCTCCTGTAGTAGCTGGTGGCGACCAATTGAGAGTGACGCTCTTGCTTGTGATATTTGTTGCTCGAACGTTGAGTGGGCACGAAGGTGGTGCTAAGGAGAATCCAAATTAGAATTTATAATACATGTTTTGTCGTACAAAATTAATTACATTTCTCAACTATCGAAAGCGCAAAGAGCAGGGACAAGCTAAGGAACAGAGACTTACTTTTAACGACGACCATTCTCGTTGATGGAAATATTCCTAATAGCGCGTATATGCTGTTTTCTGTGAGCTTTATTATTTCTGAGCAAAAGTCGAAGCGTTAATTAAGCATAATTAAGCGATTGTTTGTAAGTTAATTGATAGTCGGGAATAAGCTGAAATATTTAAAGAATAATTCATTACATATAACTTACTTGGTCTTTTACCAGCTGTAATTGCTTCTTCCGCTATATACGGAGGACCAGTACCGACACTATTTTTAGCTGTTATTCGGAAGTTGTATGACTTGTCCGTTTTCAAATCAGATACAATAACGTTAGTGACTTCCCCTTTAGTACTTGCAATCTGAAAAAAAAATAGAAATTAAATATGAAGTAAATAATTGTTTCAACATTATTCTATGTGAATAAATGAAACCACACTAACTTTTTGCCAAGCTTTCTTTGATACTTCTTTTATTTCGATAATATAATCTGTAACAGGAGTACCACCGTCGTTTTCTGGAGGTTCCCATTTTATTGTGAATGATGTTTTTGTCATTCCAGAGACTTCAAGTGGTCCTCTCGGTGGGCCTGGTGGCTCTGCCGAATAAGTAAAATTTGATTATTTAAAAAAATTAAATTTATGCATTTTAGTTTTTTTTGTATTTAACAAAATTAGAATTATTATAATTTTTTTCTTACCGAACGAAGTTCTTGTTTTAATTGGTTCGGATTCCAAGGGATCTGAAGGTCCAAATGCGTTTCTAGCGATTATTCTAAACAAGTAATCGACATCCTGCTGCAATTTCTGCACGCAGAAACTCTCGACTTCTTTATCAATATCGCCTACTTTTGTCCAAATTTTCGTATTTGCTTCGCATTTTTCAATAGTATATCCTTCCAGTTCCATGCCACCATTGTCGATCGGTGGTCGCCACTCTATAGTGATGCGATCTTGTCTGATTTCTTTCGCAATAACTGGCCCTTGAGGTTTGCTCGGTTTATCTATAATATCATAAAATATATATTACATTTTACAAAATATATTTTTGAAAGTTTCGTTTTAATTAATATATAGAATTATAAAAAAACAGAGATAAATAAGCAAAAGGAATAAAAAATATGAACCTATGACACGGAGATGGCATTCTATCGACGCGCTACCGGCTTCGTTAGTCGCTTTCGCTGTATAAATAGCTGTATCATCTCTGACAAGCGAAGTAATTGTAATAGTTGATGTATTTTTTTCAGTTTTAATAGAAATGCGTTTATCAGTTATTTTTTTGTTGGTTTTTGTCCAAGTTACTTCCGGCTTTGGAAAACCGCTGAAATGAATCTCGATCTGCCATTTGTCACTCACTGCTAGCCTTTGGTTTGTTATATTTTCATCGCAAGTAATCTTTGGAGATTCTTGAATCTTTAATTGACATGATGTTTCTGCCGTTCCTACATCATTTTGGGCTTTAACTGTAAATGTAGCCGAAGATGTCTCTGTGGTTTTTTGAATTATATATTTAGCTACGTGATTTTCATATGTAATATCACTGTCTTCAAAGGTTTTATCATCCTTCAACCTAAAAAATAAATTTTAAAATTAGTATGGCTTGAGTATGGCAGTTGGCATATTTAACAAAAAGAAGAGCGAAAGAAAAAAGTACCATGTAATACGAGGCGTTGGTATACCACCGATTACACAGGAAAGTGTGATAGTTTCTCCCAATCCGGTTACAATACTCTTCAGCGCTTCGAGAACGGTAGGCGGTTCAGATGCCGATAGTTTTGAAATTCTCAAATACGGTGTACTAGGCGATGTTTCGCCCGGTCCAGCTTCGTTGACAGCTGTTACACGGAAAGTATATTCCTTATCGATGATTAAGTTTGTCACCTTATACGTAGTTTCGTTTATTGTTTTGGTGATTCTCCTCCATCTTAAAATGAAAGAATTTTTTTATTTATTACTGATCAAGCTGTAGATCAATCGATTAGATCTACTTTATATTTTTTTTGTTTTTATTATCACATAGCCAATTCAATTCAACAAATTACTTACGAAGATTCCGATTTTTCGTGATATTCTAGAATGTATTCTGTTATTGGCGAGTATCCATCTGAATCTGGTTGTTTCCAGTGAAGAGTAATACTGTTGTCGGTTATTTCCAAAGGTTCCGGAATTCCTGGTGCTCCGGGTACCTCTGTGATATATCAATTAGTTTTTTTTTATTTTATAAATTTCTTTCCAACTTATTCAAATAATAGAGACGATTAATTTGTAAATACTTACGCACGACAATGACGCTAATTTCTATACTATCCTCTCCGTGAGGATTAGTTAATTTTAAATTATAATCGCCAAAATCTTTTTCTTGTATATTTCTAATCGTTAAGACAGCTGAATATTCATCAATAGATGTGACAATTCGTTTGGATTTCTTAAGAACACGACCGTTGACGGTCCATTCGTCAACTGGAGTTGGCGTAGCCGTGAATTTTACTATGATATCAACATCATCATCTTTTGTCGTTTTGTATTTTTTGGGCGTATCAGGATTAATCTTAGGCGGAGTTTCGATAACTAAAACAATTGACAGATATTATATAGATATATATAAAATTCGGATTTATAAAAAAAAACTACTTGAGAATTTTTATAAAAAAGAAAATTAAACTATTTATGAAACTAATTTTTCATCAATCAAATCAATCAAATATGGATGAAATAGATGGATATGTAGAAAATTTAAACCTTTAAAAAATTATTTATAATATAGGTATAATCCTACAAAATTTACCTTCAACTTTTAATCTAGACGATGTTTTCACATTAGCAACTACGGCAGTGTATTCAGAAATATCTTCGGTTGTACATTTTTTCACGATAAGTTTTTTAATATTTCCTTCATCGATAATATTATATTTTGATGATTGTGCATCAATTATCTCTCCTTTCCTGTAAATTTTATATAATCCATTATGTAATCGTAATTGTACAGAAGTTAATATTTTAAAAATATTTTTATGTTTATGCTTAAAATCAACTTACTTTAACCATGTTACCGGTACATCGGCACGCGATAGCTCAATGAGGAAAATTGCGTCAGTGTTAAAAGGCACTAGAGTGACATCCGGCAATTTTTTGATAAAATCTATTTCAGGCTCTTCGACTATTAGTCTAGCTGAAGAAGTTTGATTACCAACTTGACAAGAATAAATTCCCGCATCTTCCATTTCCGTATCATAAATTTTTAATTTCTGCCTTTTGCCGTCAATTGATAATCGTACGTGCTCAGAGAATTGCAATTCTTGCCCGTCTTTAAACCAACGTACTAAAGCGTCACCTTTTGTCAACTCTATGTCAAAGGTTGCCTTTTCTCCTCTAGCTATAGTTACATCTTGCATTTTAGTAATAATTTCCGGTGGTAATTCGATGACTGTGACTTCCGCCGTACATTCTTCATCCACAAGAGCACATGTGTATTCGCCTTCGTCATGAACCGATGTGCTTCTGATGAGAAGTTTTCTTACGGTACCATCTTTAACGAATTCTAGTTTTCCTTTGCTTGGTGTTAATAACTCGCCATCCTTTCGCCATGTAACGTCGGCCGTTTGAGACGTGATTTCAACTTCTAGAATCGCCACATCGCGTTCTTTTACCTCAAAGTCTTGTAGCATCTTAACGAACTCCGGTTTAGTGGCTTTAACAATAACGTTGCTCGACGTTACTTGGTTCTTGACAGTACACTTGTATGTTCCTACATCGGAAAGGCCACTCTTTTTAATAAGTAATTTGTGTATGCGTCCTTCTTGAATCACCTCGCGATGATCCATCCCGCTGATCTCTTTATCATTGTGCCACCACACAGTGGAAACGGTATGAGATGTTTCGCAGTTTAGTTCTAAAGTTTTATACTCATCAACTATAACTTCATTTTGTAATTTTTTTACAAAAGAGACCTTGGCAACATCTACTGTGACTTTTGCGCCATGAGAAGCTTTTCCGACTGGATTACTAGCGACACATTTATAATCTCCGGCATCTATTTCAGAGTCCGCATTTTTAATTTCCAGTAGAATATTTTCGCCATCATAAGTTTCTGTGATGTTGACTGATTTATCAAGCGGTTTATTGTTTCTCAGCCAAGTAACTTCCGGGACAGGATTTCCAGTGACTTTAGCAGCTAACTTGAAGGTACCTTTTTCCGGGACGATTACTTCTTGGAAACGTTCAGTGAATAATGGAGGTTCTGGAGCGCCACTGGGAACTTCTGTATTTCATAAATATAGCAACATTTTATTAAATTACAAAGAATTTATTTTGTGCACAAAAATATAATTGTATCGGACAATCGACAGCATAGCAACAAATGCTTATCATACCCTTAACAAACGAGATGTGTTTGTCGTTCGTACATTGCTGAAAGCTAATGATGACTTGTGACTTGGAGTTAACTGAAAGCATATTAGTGAAGAAGCATTTTGTAAAACTACATTTTGCAATGCCAGGCATATTTTATTGACTAAGAAAATATTAAAATAATATAACTCATTTTTGTAACTTATATTTCATTAAACGAGCATCAAATTGAGCTAATATCAGCCAATCGTCAGTTATCAATTGATTTATGAGAAAGCGAATTAAATAAGAAAAAAAGCAGAGCATTAAGATATTGAATGCGAATTAAAGCAAAACTGGATTGCAATTTTTGCCAATTTTCGAGATAGATATACATAGTCTATTAATGTAATGTAATGTAATGTAATGTAATTAATATTTTTATTACAAAATTAATAATATTGCAAACTTTATTGTACATAATTAATAGCAAGTATAAGTAGTATTAATAAAATAAAAATTATTTAAAAAGAAATACAAATTGAACAAATTATGAAAAAGATTAATAGAAACTAAAAATATTGTTGATGCGTTAATTTAGTTTAGTTAGAAAAGATTTAAGAGAGAGCATCAATCCTTTTGGAAAATCATTTAAACTATCGCTGTTTTTGGAACTATGTATATAGCGATTTGTTGTTAAGATGCCAATGGCAAGGGAAAAGCAGTGGCCTTCATTTCGAAAATCGACTGAAAATTGCAATTAAATTTCAGTTTTGAACTAAAGAGATATTTAAAGTTTTTGATCTTACTTTCAACAGTCAATGTAGCTCGAGTCTCGGCTTTGCCCATATCATTAATAGCTGTGACTGAATATTCTCCACTATCTGCTAGTTGAGGTTGAATCAGGTTTAATGTATTAACGTGTCCGTCTTGCTTTGTTTGCAAGCCTTTTATTGGTTTTCCATCTTTATACCATGTTATTTTAGGTGATGGATTACCAACTATTTGAGTTGATAGAACAACAGTCTCGCCTTCTTTAACTATGTAAGATTGTAATGGTTCTAAAATTTCGGGTGGCTCACTTTTTCCAGTTTTCACCTATTCCACAAAAATGTATTAATTATGTTATATGTAATTTATGGAGATAACATACATATGTATATATATTTTGTATTGTCAACCAACCTTCACGGGAATATCGATAGTAGCTTCGCCCTCTCTGTTCTTAGCAATAATCTTATACCTTCCTTCTTGTCTTTTTTGAACTTTGGTAATTTTTAGAACACTGCAGTACATGTGCATATCGCTTTCAGTCGCAACTATAATATTTTCTTGGCTAATTATCTGCACGTCTTTATAGTACCACGTTATTTCTGGTTCTGGTACGGCGACTAAGCGGCACTCCAGTATTACATCGTCACCTTCGTTTACATATTTCGCTTTCGGTTTTCGAGAAAATGTAGGCGGTATACCCTCCAATATGTCCGCAAGAGATGATTCTCTGAATATTATATTAATATAAAATATAACAAAATAGAATATAATAATATAAAACTTATATTTATAAAAATTACAATCGCCTTTTTATGTCATTTTAACACAATATTAAAAAAATAATTAATAGTATTTATAAAATAAAAATTTGTGCACACCTTGAAAGACTTTTTCTTGACAGACCAGTAACATCCGATCCGTGATCCGACAGAGGAGCCTCGACGATAAGTTCAGTAGTACTGGATGCAAATCCTGCAGCATTTTTCGCAACACAGGTGAAAGTACCGGCATCTTCAGGAAAGACTTCCCTGATTATCAAGGTAGCAACATTATCTTCGTCATAATACATTTGAAAATCGGTAGATGGTTTAATAATAGCTGTTTGACGGAACCAAGTTATTTGTGGTCTTGGTATGCCTTCTACTTGGCATTCAAACTGAACGGTGTAACCATCGATTGTATGGATTGGTTGTAATTTTTCGATAAATCTTGGAGCTGAGGCTTTCTCTCCTGGAGCTGGTTCTAAAAAATACAAATGTATGATTTTAATATTTTAGAAACTTTATATTAAATTTTATGAATCATAAGCACATATACAATAAATGCAGTTTACTTAATAAATTATATCACTATTTTTATAAATTTCATTAAGTACTTACTCTCAAAAATAGGCAATTTATCTATTTTTTCGTGTAATTTTCGTTGTAAATAAATAGTGTAATGCACTTCGTTCAGTAAATATTGCGCCGGTACCCAACCTTTTTCTTCGGTTAAATGCTTTTTTACAAACCACCAATCCTGATTAGTATGATCTGTAAGAAATGAATATTAAGAGATATTTTAAATATATTGTATTAATTAGAATTATATAATGATGATGATTTTAATGGATGTACAAAATACAGAGAGAGAAATCTTACCAATTATATAAACTTTTTCTCCTTCGACTAAGTTAATAGCTTCCTCCGTTTCAGCCACATAAGAACAGATTGAAAACATTGTATCACCATCACGAACAACATATTCGATTTCGTCAACTAAAAACATCATTAATGAATTATTTAAAATAAAAAATAAACAAAATTTTATTATATGTATAAATATTATTAAAGAATGACAACAAACCTTCTTCAGAAATTTCCTCTTCTCTAGTAATGCTAAGAGAAGCTTCTTCTGCAATATTACACATAAATATCATACAAATATCTTTTAATGCGATTGTTTATTGCAATTATAATATGACAAGAGATTTTTTAAGCAGATATAGCATTTATATAAGCAGAGTTTGTTTATACGAGACTATACCATTTTTTTTTCAAATGTACCTTTTTTATAACAATTATACAAATAAATTGCTCATTACTATGTTAAAAAATAAAAATGCAACAATTATTACCGATATGCTTTTCATACGCAGTGGGTTAATGAAAAAATTAAGAAAAAAATTTAGGATAAAAACCTTTTTTTAAAGGAAACTAGAGCGAAAGGAAGGAAAGGTAAAGCAAAAAAAAGTAGCATTTATCAGAAGATCAAAATAATGTTTAAAAGACATTAATTATATTTTAATTAAAAGCATGTTGCGTTAAATTTTATTTGCTTTGCACGTATGCATGTAAACATTATCGAACCTTCTTCATAAGTGGAAAGGCGTCTTTTGCTTTTTAGTTTCAATGCCAAAGATTCAGTATCGGTTTCTTCGTACGAATATTTCCTATCACGTTTCAATTGCACTTTAACATCGTCTTCTTCAATTTCTTCTACGGTATATGGTGTTTTTTCTTTCTTTTTCTTTCGTCTTAGAGGTATGCTCATTTCATCGATATCGAGTTCCTCGACGCTATATTCTTCTTTACCTTCATCTTCTGATTCATCAATAATTTCCTCGATAACTGGCCCGGAATCATCCTCAATTTCTTGAATAATTTTGATTGTTTCTTCTCCGGTTTCCTCTGAATACGTAAGTGGACGTTTCTTTGGTTTCAAACGAACTTTACCGGACATAGAAATATCTTCTTCTTCGTATGTATTTAATGAGATCTTAAATTCCTGTTCCACATCTTCTTTTGTCTTTGTAGAGCGTGGTCTAAACGTCACATTTTCCACCTCTGTAACCTCTTTGATATCTGGCCTAGGCTTTTTCTTTGGCCGTAATTTGCGTAAAGTGACATCTTCATAAATTTCTTCAATGGGTTTTGGTGCTTTTTTTGGCGGTTTACGTTTCAATGTAAATTCTTCAATTATTTCTTTAGGCTGTTCTACCTTCTCAATTTTTTGAATGGTTAAATCTTCCGCACTTACCTCTTCAATTTTTGGTACTGGTTTCTTTTTCTTTAATAACACATCGGTAAATGCATCTGTAATTTCTTCTTCTTTCTTCTTTTTTTCTATGGGTTTAGTAAGAGTAACTTCTGATATTTCTTCCGCTTCGATTACCTTCTTTTTTGGTTTTGATTTAAGAGTAACTTCTTCGATGTCTTCCTTCTCTATAATAGATTTTTTAATTGTGATTTCATCTGTGACTTCTTCTTTAGGGAGTTTCTTTTTTGGTTTTTTCAATGCCACTTTTTCAGAGACTTCTTCCGACACTTTTTCTTCCTCTTTTGGTACAGGTTTCTTTACAGTAACCTCTGCAACAGTTTCCTCCGTCACAAGCTTTTTCTTTGGTTTCTTCTTTAATGTGACTTCTTCACTAATTTCTTTTATTTCTTCTTCTTTTTCCTCAACAACTGGTTTTTTAATTGTTACCTCATCTGCGAATTCCTCTTTGGTAGGCACTTTTTTCGGTTTCTTTAATGCAACTTTTTCGGAGACTTCTTCTGGTATTTGTTCTTCTTCTTTCGATAAAGGTTTCTTTACAGTAACCTCTGCAGCAGTTTCCTCCGTGATAGGCTTTTTCTTTGGTTTTTTCTTTAATGTAATTTCTTTTACTTCTTCTTCTTTTTCCTCAACAATTGGTTTTTTAATTGTTATTTCATCTGCAACTTCTTCCTTGATAGGCTCTTTTTTCGGTTTCTTTAATTCTACTTTTTCGGAGACTTCTTCTGGTACTTGTTCTTTTTCTTTCACTACGGGTTTCTTTATAGTAACCTCTGCAGCAGTTTCCTCCGTGATAGGCTTTTTCTTTGGTTTTTTCTTTAATGTGACTTCTTCACTAATTTCTTTTATTTCTTCCTCTTTTTCCTCAACAACTGGTTTTTTAATTGTCACTTCGTCTGCAACTTCTTCTTTAACAAGCTCTTTTTTCGGTTTCTTTAATGCGACTTTTTCGGAAACCTCTTCTGGTATTTGTTCTTCTTCTTTCGGTACAGGTTTCTTTATAGTAACTTCTGCAGCGGTTTCCTCCGTAATAGGCTTTTTCTTTGGTTTTTTCTTTAATGTAACTTCTTCACTAATTTCTTTTATTTCTTCCTCCTTTTCTTCAACAATTGGTTTTTTAATTGTCACTTCATCTGCAACTTCTTCCTTAATAGGCTCTTTTTTCGGTTTCTTTAATGCGACTTTTTCGGAAACCTCTTCTGGTACGTTCTTCTTCTTTCGGTGCAGGTTTCTTTACAGTAACCTCTGCAGCAGTTTCCTCCGTGATGGGCTTTTTCTTTGGTTTTTTCTTTAATGTGACTTCTTCACTAATTTTTTTCTTCTCTTCAATAACATGTTTTTTAATTTTTACTTCATCAACAGTATCTTCTTCAACTGGTTCCTTAGGTTTTTTAAATAATACATCCTCAGAGATTTCTGGTACATTTTTTTCTTCTGGTATTGACTTCTTTCTTGGTTTTTTGATTGTTAATTCTTCTAATGGAATTTCTTGTTTTTCTTCGGGTGCCTTTTTTAATGTAATTTCTTCACTATCTTCTGGTTTTATTTTTTCCTTTTTGTCTTTTTTTGGTTTTATTTTTTGCTTTATTGTAAATTCATCCGTATCTTCTTTAGATATTGTTGGAGTGATATCTTTTTCTTTAGTTGGATGTTCTTCTGTACCTTCTTCTTCAGGCTTAGTTTTCTTCCAGCCTTTCAAAGTTATCGTTTCAGGCTCATCTTCCGGTTTCTTTGATGTTGGTATTCGAAACTTGACTTTGGGTTCTTCTTCAGGTTCCTGTGGTTTTGGTTTTCCTTTGATTAGTGGAATTTGTTCGATATCTTGATCAGGTTTCTTTTTCTTAGGTTTTTCATATGGTTTTGAAATGGGTTCAGGTTCTGGCTTTTTGATTGTTTCGGGTTCTTCAGGTATATATTTTTCAAGTTCTGGTCTATCAAATTCTAGTGGTTTAAATTCATCATGTACGAATGTTTCTTTGGGTTTTACTTCTTCTTTTTGATCTACATCTTCCACAGATTCTTTCTTTTTAGGCTTTTTCTTAATTTCTGTTTTATCTTCTGGTTTCTTTTCCGGAATTTTCTTTAATTTAATTTCTTCAGGCTCAATTTTAGCTTCTTGTTTCACTTCACCCTTTCCAATAACGAGCTGTTGTGGTTCTTCGGGCGTTTTTATTGGTCTCTTAGGTTCTCGTTCGTATATAGATTTATCTTCTATTGTTTCCAATGGAACTTTTTTTAATTCTTCAAACTCTTTATCTAATTTTTCTAATTCAATTAATTCTTTTTCTGACATTTTAGGTTTTTTATATTTTTTCTTTAAAACTTGTAAAGCTTCTTCTGTATTTCTAGACAAAATACCAATTTGTACCGGATTCTTTTCTATATATGTAATTTTTGGTATTTGTAACTCTGGCGGATAGTCACCAATAAATGTAATTCTGCTACGCAACATGATTTTAGGAAATACTGGTTCGCTGACTTCTTTTTCGGAACAATTGTTACTTTTTTCAATTTAATTGTACCAAATTGTACAGTCTCTTGAAGTGGTTCAGTATATTTTAATTTTGTAGGTTTGATCTCTTTTCTTTCGATCTTTTGTGGAATTAATTTTTGCGGAACAGATTCAAGTAATATTTTCTTTTCTTTTTTCTTTTTTGTTGGCTCCCATTCAATTTTCTCTGGCATCGGCTCTAGTACTGGTCTTTCGTATTCGGGTTCTACCCATTCTTCTATATCATCTTTCTTAACAGGTTTCTTTTTCTTTTTCTTAATAACCTTCTTTTCTTTCGATTTCTCGATGGATTCATCTGATTTTTCTTCTGTAGTTTCTTTCGGTTTTTCAACTTCTTTTATTTCTGTGGGCTGTATTTTTTCTTTTAGTTCAGGTTGTACTTCTTTGGAAATATCTTCAAATTCAGTTTCCGGAATTATCTTTGCTATTTTTGTAGTGTCTAGTGGCACTTCCTCTATTTTTGCTTTTTCTTTTCTAGGTTTTATTGGTGTTATTTCTTTCACTATTTTGTCTTCTTGTTCTGTTTCAATAATGACAGGTTTTATTTCTTGAATGACCTTATCTTTTTTTAGGTGAGTTAATTCCTTTTCTTTTTCTTCCTCAATATCAACTCTAACACTTTTGATTTTTTCTTTCTCAGTTATTTCCTCGCCTGTCATAGCTACAGTAACCTCAGTAATCTCGATACTTTCTACAGGTGCAACAAATGATTTTGCTTTCTTTTCGACAGGCATTTTTTCTGTGATAAGTTTCTCAGGTATTGTTTCTGTTGTCACTTCTGAAATTTCAACACTTTCTTTTAAAGGTATATCTTTTTTAGCCTTTTCTTTTTTGGGTTTTTCCATTTTTATATCTTCTACTACTTCATCTGGTTGATCCTTCTTTGTTTCCGTGGCCCTTTTCTTAACAAGTGGCGCCTTTTTTACAATTACTTCCGTTAGTTTTATATCCTGTTCCACCTCTTCTATAGGTATGGCTTGCTCTTCTTGTGGCATTTTATCTTTACCAAGTTCACTAGTTGCAATTTCGGGAACAATTTCGGTAGTCTCTACCTCTTTATTTGTAGTTATTATTTTTTCTGCTTTTTTCTTGCTTGGACTTTCTGAAAGAATTGTTTCGACAATTTCTTCTTCAATTTGTTGTTCATTTGCATGTTTTGGTTCAATTTTTTTAGGCGCTTTCTTTACAATAACTTCTTTTATTTCAATTTGCGGTTCAATACCCTCAATTGGCATTGCCGTTTCTTTCGTAGGTTTTAGTTTTTCAAGAAGTTCTTCAGTACTTGTACTTGAAATTGTTTCTATGATTTCAAGTCCTTCTTTTGTTATAATGGCCGATTGTATTTGTTCTACTTTTGGTTTTTTTGTTATTATTTCTTCAGTAATCTCGACTGTCACTTTTTCTTGAACAGGAATCGTGCTTGTTTCTTTTTTTAAAACTTTTTTCAATATATCCTTTTCATCTTTAATTTCGGACACCACAACATCTTTGGTTTGGTTTTATCTTCTGTGAGTGTGGTAACGGGTGATTCAGCTAAAATCTGCGTTACTTCGATACTTCTTTCGAAGAGAATGTAGTTCAGCTTGTTCCTTCTTTGGTTTCTCTATAATAATTTCTCCAACAATTTCTTCTGGTATATTATCATCATGAGTCTTTGCTGTTTTCTTTTTTATAACTTTTTTTGTTGGTGTTTCAACATTTTCAACAATTTTTTCTTTTTCTGTTATTTCGGTTTCTTTAATTGATTTTTGTACAATTTCTTTTATAATTTGCTCATGCTGATCTTCCGTTGCTAATTTTGCTATAGGTGTTTTGATAGTTTCTATTACTACCTCTTTAATATCTATTTTTTCTTCTGGCATCTCAACAGCTGCTTTACATACATCTACTTTTGTTAACGTGATTGTTTCTTGACTTTCTTCAACAATAACTTTAGCTCTTTCTTGTTTTGGCTTGTCTGTTACAATTTCATCTACGCCTTCCTCAACGGTAGCTTTTTCAATTGATTCAACAAGTTCATCTTTTCTCTTTGGACGCTTCTTCTTTTTAATGACTTTTTGCGTGGGTGTTTCGATGGTTTCAATCACTTCTTCTTCGATAACAGATTTATTCTCTTCTTCCTTTGGTATTTCTTTAATATCTACTATCATCGTTTTCACAGACTCATTTTGCTCTATCAAAAGTTGAGCATTTTGTTTATCTACTTCTTCCATTATTACTTTCTCTACACCTTCTTCCGGAATTTCGTACAATTCTTCTTGTTGCTGCAAGATTACAAAGATGTAGTGTAATATATGTCATAATATAAATTACATAAAGAATTTAATTTTTTGATGTTACCTGATATATTGATTCCTCCAAAGTACCTGCAAAGTAAAAATAAGATATTAAAAATGAATGAAAAATCAATGTTTTAAAGAAAAAAAAAAGCTTAAGAAATAATTATATATTAAATTATACGAAAATTATATAGTATAGTCATAACATGTATGACGTGTATTAACGTATTGGGTTAATGATAAAAATTATATTTTCTTTTTACCATCTGCTTTACTTTAAGAAAAACATTTGTTCAAAGATGTATATATGTATGCATATCGAAAAAAGAATAATCGAAATATGTATATATGTATCGTTACTGGATACAAGCAATAACACTAGCAACAACCAATCAAGAAGCTTACCTTTTAATACATTCTTATTAATCTTATGTTTTGTCAGTTCTTTGTGTTTGAGTTTATCGTGTATTTCTGGTATAGCGGTGTCTGCGTGAAGATTAGTTGTAACTAAGTCAGTGTGATGCATTTTACTTTCATCATCGACAGTTACTCTTGTTGTGCGTTGTTCTTCACCATCTTCATCATTTGTTAACATAGGTGGCTCAATAGGTTCACTAAACTCACAAGGAGATAAAGAAACACCAATTTCCTCAACGATTTCTACCTCAGGACCTTCAGTAACCGTTGTCACGAGTACTTTTCCTTTCTCTTCGACAGTAACTTCTTCCGTCACTTGTTGTTTTTGGCCCTTGCGTTCAATGATCTTCCTCTTTGTAATTTTCTTCGGCCTTTTGCCTTCAACAATTTCTTCGGTGACAGTAACTTGTTCTCGAATTTCCTCTATTTTGACAGGTTTTGCAAATTCGAATTGAGGTAAAGGTAAAACAGTTTCTTCTACAATTTCCTCATCAGGGCCTTCTGTAACCGTGGTGACGGGTGCTTTTCCTTTTTCCTCGACAGTGACTTCTTCCGTCACTTGCTGTTTCTGTCCCTTGCGTTTAATAATCTTTTTCTTTGTAATTTTCTTAGGTTTTTTACAATCAACAATTTCTTCGGTGACAGTAACTTGCTCCCAAATTTCCTCTACTTCGACAGGTTTTGCCAATTCCAGTTGAGGTAAAGGTGAAACAGTTTCTGCTACAATTTCTTCTTCAGGGCTCTCGGTAACCGTGGTTACGGGTGCATTTCCTTTTTCCTCGATAGTGACTTCTTCCGTCACTTGCTGTTTTTGTCCCTTGCGTTTTATAACCTTTTTCTTTGTAATTTTCTTCGGTTTTCTACCTTCAACAGTTTCTTCGGTGATAGTGACTTGCTCTCGAATTTCCTCTACTTCGATAGGTTTTGCAAATTCCAATTGAGGTAAAGGTAAAGCAGTTTCTTCTACAATTTCCTCTACA